TGATCTTTCAAATGCCTTGTGTACATGAAGTGGCACTAAGGTCAGAAATCCACTTTCCCAAAGGTAACTGTCTACAGAGGCTTGAATGTACAGTGTGATCCATATGACTTTGCATTCATATGAACTGAGATTTTGAAGTTTGTTTCATTCATTTTTTTTCTGGCCATCATAGTTTGTAGCCATATGTACTACAAAGAAAGACAAAAAACTCCCAGTCACTGTATTTTTCTTATGCTTCATGAATTTAGCATTAAGAAATACCTCAGAAACAGTGTGACTTATTTTTCAGCAATGCATGTTAGTTAGCTTGGCTGATAGTAACTAAGATTTTGTGCAGAGTTTGGTCATCGGTCCATGTTTAGATTTACACAGAAATATAAGACTCACACAAAGAACTGTAAAAAAATTAGCCAGTAATGTTTATTTTCACCCCCAAAAGTACAAAAGTACAAAAGCTGATGCCTAACACTGTAAATATTGTTAATAAGCATTTGGACTGAGCAGAAATACATTGAATTAAAAGGAACAATCTCTTTTCATTTCAGTAGGTTTCAGTTAGGCTCATAAACCCTTGCACACTGAGACAAGAACATAGGCCTGACTGTAAGAAGAGAAACATTAATTTCTACTGTCAAAATAGTGCTGAACTGGAATATTGCTAGTATCAGTAGTATTGATCCACAAACCTCACTTAGGTCTTTCTGCTCCAGAGAGAATTTAATGTTTCCACGCAATGTCAGGCAGAGGAAATTGGCAATGCGTCTGCAAACCACAGCTTGTGTGGTGCACGTGAATGCAGACACAACTTTGCTTTTCCACTAGCTCCTTTTAAAAAGGGAAATGTCACTGAAATATAATGGTTTGTACTGAAAATGGTCTAGTGACACCTTATTTTAGACATAGGTACATTAAACCCTACCCATACACTGTTGTGGAACTTAATTACATGTTATCACTAAGCCTGTTATCACTAAGACATAGACCCAGTAAGGCACATTACCACTAAATTGTTGCTAAAGCCACAGTAGTGTGATATTGTATGTGATATCCATGTGAAATATCATTTCTATTAGCACTGCAGGGTTTTCAATAGATACGCAAAGATGGATTTAAGAATATGAAATTATGATTTTTCTGAATAATCCTCATTTCAGCATAATAAATAGGACCTCTGCAGTGTTAAGGTTTAAATTGGATTTGAAAAATCACATTCTGTGGTGAAATCACAGTCCCATTACTGTCATTTTGCTGATGGACTTAGTAGCTATCAGAAAACTTAGTACGCTCAAATAGTCACACAACTATCAAGGAAGTGATAGCATCTCTTCCACTTCCAGCCATGCGCTGTGGAAGAGAGATTGAACTCGAAAGCTTTGAGTTGGTCCAATTTTCTGCCACAGTGGAAAGGTAGCATTTGCTGACCAGAGACCACTCCACAGCACAGTACCTGGAAGCCAGTGTGGCTTTTAATGCTGGGGCTGGCAAAAGGAGACCTGTATCTGAGCATCACTTCATATAACCCAGCCTTCTAAAGTTGTAAAAATCTATCATCTCACATCACTTCATAAGCCTGGCTCAGAAGGCACAACTCTTATTTTCATATTCACCACAGAGAACTACATTTTGCAGTAAAATTAACAGAGGTTATTTTACCTAATTCTGTAGTTGTCTTTTAGATATGTGTCTGTCTGCTTTTGGTATCTTTTAAAACAAAAGAAAATTACAGAAAAAATTGTAACTGTAGAATGAGAAAGACAGCAAAAGAAAATTGCTAAAAAATTATAGCTGTAAGATGACAAAAAAAGTAACAAATAAACTCTGACTACGTTGTAACAAGAGTGGGAGGTTTGCTCCTGCTCCAACAGAATCCACTGTTGTTGGTGTCCCACACTGGCTACCAGTATCATTATCTTTACATTAAGGCTTTTTTTCTAAAATGTATATTAATAAAAACACTATATTCAAGATGTGCCACTAGCAGTATAAATCACTATTAAATGACTTGAGAAGTAATCTATATCAATATTTAACATACCAAGTGAGGGCTTTCCTTTCAAAACAAAGAGAATGTGTTAAGTTTTCTGTGGTTCAGGCACAGCAGACCTAGACAGAATCACATATTAATAGCTTGCCCAGGAACAGAAAAAGCATTACTTTCTGGAGCACAGAAGCATATTTTGAAAGTTAAACCAGGACTTAAGCTCTTTGTGTCACCCAGCTATGAAAGCTCAAGTTTAAAATTGCATTTTTTAGTTTGGGGCCATATATTTCTATTTACACTTCTGCAGCACAAACTGATGCTACGTTCTGCGATTGCAATGCAGCAAGACTCAGATTTGCTGCATGGCACTGCAGTTATTTCTGCACACATTCAGTAAGTTCATTGAAGCCTGCATGGGTTGGGCTGATCACATGTGGCAGTTAAAGAGCAATAAATGACACAATTTCTCAAAGTGCAGGATTCCCAGAATACCTGCATATCCACTATGGGAAAATGCCACCATCTTTTCTTCTAGTTATTCTTCCACAGCTGCTGGATACTGGAAATCCCCACAGAAGGACCATAACAGAGTCCACCCAAAGAGTATTTCTGCTTCAAGAAACATTCATGCTGGAAGGGCTGACTTTGCACCTTAATTATGCCTGATGTTCTTCTGCTTAAGTTAACAGGACAAAGGCAGGTAGGTTACATTCACTTTACCAGAAAAAAAAACAAAAAAACAACAAACCTCAAAAAAAGTTCTCTTCTTCAGTTACTGCACTGAGTACCATGCACTTGCACCCTGCTGTAAAGAAGCATTTTTCGTTTTTCTACCAAATGCTTGCCTTCTAATTCTTATTCTTTAAAAAAGCCAGATCTCTGCTAACAGCAAAACAAGGTACAAAAAATCCCAAGTAGTTATACAAAGCTCTGTCTTTGTAATCACTTTTATACTGTTGGTTTTGAAACAAGTGTAGAAATAATTTGGGGTCTTCACATTAGTGAATCTCTTCCCTTAATTAGTATAGTTTTGATCTTGAGTTAAACAGATTGGCTTTAACTTTCCAAGCTTAAAAGACTTTTGTAGGCAAGTATTTGTTTTAAGGTAACACACATGCTCTGGTCATATACCACTTTGAAACTGCAAGGCAGCTCTACTATCTGCAGTGCAGTAGTTATGAAGGCCATTAAAGATTATGAAGTAATGGTTTCAGAAAAAGGTGTTGTGGCTGTAACACTTAAGAGAATGCTAACAAAGTAGAAAACCCATGACTGGCACCACCCATGTGTAGACAACAGGATGTTAGCATATGGAAGCAAAAGCTTGGAGATGTTATAGAATCTTCACCCAACAAAGGTGTGAATGCTAAATTTCACTGCACAAAGGACCAAATAAGCAAGAGATATATGCTGGATGTTAGGACCAGGGTCTTATTTTTGTCAACCTGTAGCAGATGTGTAACTGCATGTTTAACTCATCTTTTCAATGTGCAATTAACCAGACTGTATATGAAACCAATGGACTGCTTATGCGCAGACTCGTGGCACTGAAATGAATCCAGAGTGTCAGTTCCCACACTACGGCTTGACGTAGTCTGGTTCCCTGGATACCCCCCGCACTTGAGAGCTGTGGAACAGCTGTCCTCGATTCACCACTAGCTTCAGCTGAGGCTTCCAGTCTGCTTTGTAGACAAAAGAGAATAAACCAACAGACACAAGGTTAACCGTAAGAGGAAAGACAGATGCTGTCAGCAGGGCCAGCTTCCTCAGAACTGCCACCAAGGGAGCTGCTGAAAAGGACCATGATGCTGGAGGCAGTTACACTTTCTTAGTCCCATAGAGGGACTAAGACATCACTCCTCTCAGCCCATGGCTTCTATAGTTAAAGGAACAAAAAGACAGTAATGACAAAGGGCAAGTTTCAAATCAGGTGGCAGAAAGTGTAGAGAATGTGCTGGCACATGAAAGAGCTGTTCTCCACGAAGCAGTAACTCCTAACCACAGCAAAAAATGGTAGCTGCAGTGTGCACTCACCTTACAACAATTTTCAACATGTATGTAATTCTGGAAGAGTACAATTACTGTTCTGCAAGTATTACTGAAATTTTCACAGTCCATTTTTGACAAATAATCTTTTTTTTTTTTCTTTTTTAATTAAAAACTGCTTCATATAGAAGTTCTTCACTTTCTGTATTCAACTAGCACTCTGTATTTCCTGAGGTGTGCTCGTACCATGAATCCAGGCCAGATCTGGTACAGCAGAGTACACAATATATCATCCCCCCTGAATGATGCCTCCTTGACTAGCAAAGCCTCTTTGGTTGGCTCACCACTGTGGTAAGTCACCCAATAGCTTGTTCAATCCTTCTTTCCTGAACTACCCAGTATGTGATTACTTCTTACATATCAAATGTTTATACTCTGCTTGCATTGTCCTTGCACCCACCAAGAATAACTTCTATAACCAGTACATACAACATCTACAATAAGCAAGCTAGCAGCCATAGCAAGTATCATGTTTTCCTCTCATTTTTCCTGCAGTCTACAGCGACAACACTGAATTCTGGTTTTGCAAGTGTCTAATCCAGTGACTGCAGGAGTGTGAGAAGCGCCCTCACTTTCTCCTACTTTATACAAAGTATGCATGTATGGGAGTACATCATACAAGTATGGCTTCACAAGAAGGACTGGCAAATTTTTTAAAACACTTTTTTCTCTGATCTCACTCCTGGAATGACCCTGGTGCCCCCAGTGAGTATTAGGGCAGTTTTATGCCAGCACACGAGTTTTCATAACTGAAGTTGAGAGGAAAGGCATTTCATTATCAGAAAAAAAAGGGCTGTGTGGAACTTCTGTGGAGAACAGCAGAAGACAGGGCAACATTTCTGAGTCACATAATTGCAAGTTACCCATTAACTCGAATAAGATGGGTCTATATTTTTCATTATATATCCTGATTTACTGAACAGTGCCATTCCCTCCTGAATCCCGAACACTCAGAAGATCGGCGCTCTGATCTTCACTGCCTTTCCGCGAAGGCGAGCAGCCGCGCCCCCAGAGCCTCCAGGTCGTAGCGCCCGACGGGTGGCTCTGCCGGGCCGGCCGGGCCGTCCCCTGCATCCTGCCGGGCGGGGGCGCCGGAGCGCCAAGGGGCTGCGTCACCCGGCTGCCGTCGGAGCCTCCTCACAAAACCCCTTCTCACCGCGGGGCTGCGGGTGCCGAGCCTTGAGCGCAGGTGCCTGTACACCTGGGCCCTGGCCACGGACCTCGGCGGGCGGGCGGACGAGCTCACCACGTACTCCTGGTAGTCGTCGTCCGCCCGCACCGTGTGCAGGAGGCGGTCGAAAGGCCTCCTGCAGAGGGGGCACACCGCTTTCCTGGCGGCCCACTGCTGGATGCAGCCGAAGCAGAAGCTGTGCAGGCACCCGTCCACGTACGCTGCATCGCCGATGGTACTCATGCAGATGGCGCACAGGACGTCTGCCGCTGCTTCCTGCTCCCCTGCCCGCTCCACCTGGCTGCTGCCAGCCGTCATGGCAGAGCTGCCCTGCTGCAGGCGCTCCTCAGGACTCAGCACCATCTCCTGCAGGGAGAGAAGTTCAGGGCTTTCCTGGTGCTAGCAGTGGAAACGGAGACAAAGACCCGGAAAGCGGTGGGACAGGGGGTAAAGGGCCTCCCAGAGTGGGCTGAGAAGTGGCAGCAGAAGCAGCGCTGGGGACAGCCAGCCCCAAAGGCTGCCCTCCCTCCCTGCCTGGCCCCCCGGGGACCGCCAGCCCCAGGGGCTGCCCTCCCGCCCTGCCTGGCCCCCTCAGCTCCCCTCAGAGACGCTGCCCAGACTCCCAGACCCCCACTCCTCTGCCCCTCCCAGACAACCCACACGACTGGAGCTGGCACTGGGTACCTGAAGGAGGTGGTCAGGAAATGCAGAGGAACTGGCCAGGAGTCCTCAGTACTGCCCACTGCCACAGACAGCTGCGTGTGGGACACAGAGCCCCCCAGCCACACAAAGCTCTGCACAAAAGCGGCACTCCAAGAGCAGGTCCACGGTCCTGGTGGACCACCAGCACCCCAGGTCCTTCTCCGTATAGCTGCTGCCGTCACCAGTGTGTACTGGCTCTTATTCCTCCCCAGGGGCAGGAATTTGCAATTGTCCTTGCAGAAGTTTTGATGTTCCTTCCACCTTATCACCTTCTCCAGCCTTTCAAGGTCCCTCCGCTTGGCAGCCCAACTTCTAGCATATCAGCCTCTCCTTACAGTTTTGTGTTGTTAGCAACTTTGCTAATGGGCATATTCTGAGGTATATTCTAGGGTATATTCTGCCTCCTCTTCTAATTCATTAATAAAGGCATCAAACAATATTGGACTCAGTATTGAGCCCTGGGTTAGTTACCATCTTCCAACTACATTTCATGTCATTGATTGCCATGCTGAATCCATCTGCCTGAGCTCTCAACAAAAGTCTCCTCTCTAACCCCTTCTGAAAACCCTATTTTAAGCTTCTGCAGTAAAATTAGTACCATATAATGGAAACTTTGCTTGTAATCACATCTCAGTAGGATGTTTGAGCTTCATTATGACATTCTGGTGAGGCAGATCCTCAAAATTTTATGGAGGTCTAGTGCCCACTCAGTTACTGCTTAGCAACCAAGAGCTTCTTCAGGAGAAAGCTAATCTTTTGCAGCCTGGGAGTTGGTTGCTGTGACTTACACTGAAGAAGGAGGAGAGCTGAAACTATGAAGTGAGTGGCTTTCAGCACATTCATCTCCAAGAAGATACCATTGGCTTTATTCCTCACATAATGATCTGTGTCACTACCTGACCTAAGCACATCTCAAAGCCAGCCACTGCCTTGAAGATTTCCCCAATGTTCTGGGGCAATAAGGAAAGCTCACTTCTTTCCTCAATAAGATTATTGCTTATAGTTCTGTCCTGTGTCAGAATCCAAGCTGTTCTGAAAGTGTTCTGTTTTATACACTTCAATTTACTCATTTTCTCAGCCCAGGTAGCATTAGCCCAGCCTTGAGAAACACTGGCCCCGCACATAGTGAGGAGCCAGGGCCAGCTGAGTCTCACTACTTGCTTGATGTAGTGGGGGTCTCTCACCTGACCTATAAAATTACCACAGGATACCTGCTCCATAAGGTGCAGTGTCTACTGATCTTCTTCTAGTGCTCTTTCCCTGCCATGAAAACAAGACACTGTACATGAAGAGGAGACAGAAGTTTAAAATGTGCTTCTCAGCTGTGGTTCAGATGTTCTTTATGTTAAAAACTGACTCTGAGTCTCTGATAACATTCTAGCTAACTCATGCCACACTTCTAATTTTTTTCTGTCATTTTTATTGTCCTTTAATAGGTCCATTCTGATGTGTGATTTATTTTGCTCTAACATTTCTTAGGGTCCTTTCTGTAAATATTAAGAAGTTGCCTTGGAATTCCTTCTATAAATACTAAGGCAGTCTTAACCAGCATCTTATATGGTCTCTGTGGCAACATTTTGGAGCTATTTTTAGGCCCACAGTCTTGAAGGCTGGTGTGCAGAATTCATCATCTCTTTGCTCCAGGAGATTTTCTTGCCCAATAGGATTTTAAATTCTGTAACCTCTCTGACAAGCAATCTGGTACTTGGTGTTCCTTATGGCTCCAGATTTTAACTTGTGCCAAATGTAAATGTTCCTTGCTATGAGATAAGCACTGACCTTTCTCACAAGTGGCATGCAAAAACATCTATTTCCTTCTAGTCTGCAGATTTTACATTGTTGTGTCTCTGCTCAATCCTTGTCTAAATTCAATTTTTATTCAACTTTCTCAGAAGTTATATTTTCCCTACCTCTGAACAATGACTTTTCCTTCTTTAGATGCTCTCCAACCACTCTGCTTGGGTTTTTTTTGTTTTTTTTTTTTTTTGTGGTTCTGGCTTTTTTTTGTTTGGCTGGGGGGGTTTAATGCCATAATACAAGAATCTGTGCCTAATATAAGAAATAGAGTCCATCTAGTACACAGTCAAAAAGAGTTTTTTTCCTTAAGTCTTTCTTACATTTATTTACCTCCACAAAATGTTTGCCTTTTGTCCAATAGAACAATGTTGTTTGGCTACAGAACCATTGCTGAAATACTGCTGCAAAACAAATCTTTCCCACCCTGTGCATGTGCAACTACATATTCTTACCTAAGTTCAGAGAATTTGTTCTTGTTCTTCAGAATTTTCACCCGCTTTCTATTGTTAGGGTAGTTTTGGGCTCCACTTCTGTCTTCCAACAGCCTTTTGTCACTGCAACTCACCAGGCTCTTGTGTAGGTTTCTGTTCCAGCATCCAAACAGTTCAGGTTGCTCTGAAATAGCAGTGGACTCACAACAACTCTCCTGGCCTCCTTTTCCTACTTGTTACAGTAATCCTTCTTCCATCTGGGTCTTTTGGAGATGAGAAACACTTATTTTTCCAATAAGTTTGTAAATAATAGGGATTTTTCAAGAGTCTGTTTTGTTGATGTCTCTGGTCACCTATTGTCCATAAGGGGGCAATGTATTGCAAGAACAGAAGTCCTGAGATGCGTGGAAGTGTAGTCAGGACCCAAGATTAGGTGTCGTTACTTTTCCCACTGGAGTGTCTGTTTTCCTTCATCTGATAATGAGTTTGAAGGATCCCAGCCCTGTGGTGTTACTGTTTTAAAAGATGTTATTACATCTGATGGGTGTTGAGAAATTAAATTTTGTTCAAATGTGGCCTTCAGTTAAAACAGTTGAGCTGTGTTTTTGTTTTGCTCTAAAGACTGAGCAAAGCATATTTGTAAGTAAACAGGGCAAAATTGTTTTCCTTTCCAGTATGCTCTACCAAGAACTAGTACAAAAATATTGCTCATCTGAAACTATATGATTTTGGAAAAAGAACTTTAGCAGAGATTACAGGAGGACTATTGTGTCAGCTCACTGACTGTTCATCTACTTTTATGCTCTCATAACAGTGCTCTGTATAGAACTAGCAAAGGGAAAGATAATTTTACACCTCATATTGGAGTTTGCCATTCTTGGACCAGCCTGATCCTTCACATAAAATAAAGAAGCCTTTTTGCCAAATGCCATCAGTACCCAACAGTTGGGATTAGACAGAAGATGATACTCCAGTGATACTCTATTTCCTTTACCTGTACTGTAGTTTTGGGAGTGTGTTATAGCAGTGCACTGCCAATAGCGCTCTTTGGTTTGTGGCATCCAGGGCACCTGCCTGTGCTAGACACAGCCTTTTTTTTTTTTAGTATTTTTTATTATTTTTTGTGGTGCAAAAAGGGTAGTGTGGTCCTGTGCATGTCACAGTGATGTGCACTTGCACAGTTAGTTTATATCATTTTCTGTCAGAAGACATAAGTGATCATTCTCTGTCCTGAAAAGCATGTAGTTATATGCAAGAAAAGACACTATGTGATAGCTCCAGAAGGAAAATCATGCAGAGAAGACCATGTCAGTCACACCCTCTTTTCTGCTGGATATTGACTGAAAGATCTAAGGAATTGTCAGTATCCAGATCCACATAGCTGAGAACAGTGCCTGTGAATGGAACATAAGGAATTGCTGCTGTTAAGCAAGTCTCTAACAGGTTTTGGTTGGTTCCAGCTGCTGACATCTGAGAGTCCACTCTGAGCAGATTTTTGGTGGTATGGTAATGTTTCTGAATGCATGCCAGAAACCGTAGCAAAAATACCTTCACTGTGTTAATGACTGAAGTCATTAGTGTCTACAGAGGCCAGGTTCCCAATGCCATTTAAATACCAGGCAGTCTCAGTCACTCCTGATCATCTCTTTGGGAAAAAAAAATCATTTCTTTGCTGAAAGCACGATGAGGAGTGACCTCACAATTACTCTGCCATTTTGTGGGGTTGGTAATCTTGGTGTGGAACATAGCACATCTTCCCTAGGCTTGGGATGAGCTATCTGGCAGTCTACTCTTTTATGCCCCAATGCTGCAGGTGCATAAAAAGATACTTCAGTCTTCATGATGCTGTCCATTCCCCTCTGCACAGCCTAAACCTTTCTTTTTTTCTGTCCCTTGTCCTTTATAGGCAGCAGCAGCTACCACCAATGGAGCTCTGGTCTATTTCTCCATTTGAGTTTTCTCTTATGCCACTTCTTGTTAAATGTGTCACAAAATCCAGGCCAGGCTCTGTGCTGGCAGAATTCCAGCCTTTTGGAAGAGATGATGGATTCATATTTGTGCTGCCCAGTCTGAACCTTTAGCCCCAGTAGAACATTATGTAGGTAGTTAATGCTTCTTGGTTGGCTTCACATACAGCCACACACATCCCTGCCTCCCACCTGTGCCTGAGACACTGGGCCTCAGGAGACCACTGTGTGGGGTTTTGTAAACTGCCCCCACCACACTTCTGCTATGGCTACAGCAAGCCAAAACAGAACAAGCACTAAAGTTCAAAAGTGTATCCTTAAACTCTTAAGTGTATACAGTCTCACTGACTGGCCACACAACCCCTCACTTGAACATATTCTCTGACTTTTAATATCAAATATATGTTTAAAATTAGAACCAACAAGAAGACTAAGGAAATGGAAGAGGGAGATAAAATGATTTAAAGTTCTAAAACTGAAAAGATTTTTCTCTTATGAATTTGATATGCAGAACAGATGGTCCTCAAAAAAAAAATAAAGTTCAGGCAGAAGAAAGGAGCCTAGAAGGAGTCTTTATCCTGCTCCCACTGCATTGAGACTGTAAGCAGCTGAAAGGCTAATCAATTGATTCTTTTGTTGAGTGGAAATGCCAATCCCTTAGTGGTTCTGTCTGCAGAGAAAAGACAAAACTGCTGTGTTTTTTAATTCAGAGTTCCTTGTTTCCAGGTTGTTTTTCGTTCTCTGTAACCAGTGCGCAACAAAATCACATCATGTGACACTGAAACACACAGCCAGTTGGAAACCTTAGCCAGCTTTCTTAGGACATATTTTTATTAATAATCTAACTGTTAATAGCTAGATGATTTGATGTTGTAATGGGATTGTTCCTCAAGTGAAGCAGTGAAGAACAAAAGGCAAATAGTAAGATCTCATATTTTCTTTACCCTAAAATATTTCTGTTTTCAGCCCTCCAGATATTTGCTACACAGGTCAGTGTGATTCTAAACAGCTGAATTGTTTTTCTTCGGAGAT